GCCGGGGGCCGGCGGGAGCGGCGGGGCGGGCCTGGGAGGAGGGGGTGTGTCCGGAGAAGGAAGCGCAGCCCCGCGAAGGGGGCTTGGCTAGGAGGAGGGGACGCACCTGGGAGGAGGGGCAGGGCCGGGCGGGAGGAGGGGTGTGGCCCGGAGGAGGGGGCGCTCTGAGCCGGAGGAAGAGGTTCGCGGGGAGACCACAGCCTTGGGGGGCGGGAGGGAGGCAGCGAGTGCCCCTGCGCAGGGGGAGGGGCTGCCGAGAAGGCTGTGGCCCGCGCAGCGCAGCTGGAGTTATCCCTGCGCCCAGCACCCAGGGACCAGCCCCCGGAGTCGCGATGCGCGCACATTGTGGCCAGCGCGCTCCCTGGAGGTTCTTGGGGGGTTATGAGCGCCTACTGTACGCCAGGCCCCCCACCAACCAACCCATGTTATCAGGCGACAACGCAGCGTATAGAGGAGGTCCTCAGAGCTGAAGCAGGGGTGGCCTTTCAGTCGGTCTTTTTCTATGCCGGTTGCAGAAGACGCCCTAGCGCCCTCCCCTTGTGTTAAACCGGCTTTCTAGCTGGGACGCGCCGGGTGTCTGCTTCTCTTAGTTCTTCCAGCACCCGCCTTCCCTCCTAAGGCTTTCCTTATTGTTTGAGGTGTGAAAGTAGAGTTTAGACTATTTAGCGCCTAGTCGGATTCTTTTCATTGTATAAATGGGTAAACTGAACCCTAAGAGCATTTGGACGCAAAGCGGTGCCAGAGATGGGCTCCAGGTTGCCTGAATTAAGCTCCTTCCCTGTCGGAATAAGGGACCAAACTACATTCAGGCCTGGGTCCCAGGGTCCTGGCACCACAAGCTGGGAGACTTGGACGGTGAACGCACCGGAGACAGGGCGTTGAAGAAATGAGGTGTCAGGGTGCGCCTCGAGGCTGGTAGTGCTAGCACGCAATCTTAGATGCGCTGGCCAGGTCCTTTCTCGCTGTCCAGCCACCTGGCCCTCGCGCTGCAGGCAACTCCAGCCACATCCTGCCATCTGCTGGGCGCCTTTTGTCCTGGCCTGTGACTTCAAAAGAGACAGTGCCTCTTTCTCTCATCTTCTCTCCGCTGGAGTCGAAAGTGACTCCTAAGGCCTACCCCACCCTCACCACATTGTTACAGTCACCTCACGGTGTCAATCCATCTTGCCGAGGGTCTTTCTCTCTTATGCTGCCCTTGGCAAGCTTGATATCCTTCTCCAAGGACTGGCCCCTCTGCATTTTCTAACACAATGGAAGACTCCCAGCGACGTCAGTACATCCAGAGAAGATGTAGCCAGAGCCATCCAACCGGCCCAGCCTGCGTTTTGGGAGGCCTGTGGGTCACCTGCAGAGGGGCGGTGTGCCGGGTGGTAGAGCACACATCCTTGAGATGAGAGTGTTGATATGGAGTCCTCAGGGAAACTAAAACTATGATAATATTTAAAGCAAGATAATAGATAAAGTACATAACAGGGCCTCCATAATCAAGGATTAATAGCTCTTGCCTTTTACTTTCCCAGAAAGCGGTGAGGCTGTAGCCAACCTGCACCAGGTGAGTTCCTGGATGCAAGATAAAGTGATCTCACTTCTACAGGAAGGGAGCTACGGTGGCCTAGTGGTAAGGAGCTGCACTGCCAACCCAAAGGCATGTGGTTCAAATCCACCGACTGATCCACGGGAGAAAGATGGGCTATTTCCTCTGAAAACCCGCTGGAAGGTCAGCTGTGGACCGGTTCCGACTTGATGACACACAACAACAACAACAACTTCTAAAGGAAAGTGGTAGAAATGGTCCCAGGTGTAGCTCCCTCGCAGTGGCCACTCTCTGGAAGGCTCTTAAAGAGCCCAGGTGGCAATGTGATGGTTAAAGTGCACTGTTGCCAGCCCAGAGGTGGATAGTTCAAACTCACCAGCTGCTCCACAGAGACAGATGAGGCTGTCGGCTTTCATACAGATTTGCAGCTTTGGAAACAGAAGGAGCTATAGGGTCTGTGCTATAGGGTCCCTATGACTCGGGATCCCCTCGATGGTTGTGAGCTGACGAGGACAGGCTGACTTAGTAAAGGACTTCTTGCCTCAATCTGTCTGTAAAATGGGAAAAGTAACAGCACGCCCCTTCCTAGGGTTATCATGAGAAGCAAATGAATAGGGACTTCATAAACATGGCCCGTGGTCAAGGCAGTTAGTGGTCTCCAAGCCAGTTCCGTGTATATACATGACACGTCAAGGTAGGTAGTTGTCTCCGAGCCAGTTCCATGTATACACATGGCACATGGTCAAGGTAGGTAGTGGTCTCCAAGCCCGCTGCATGTGTAATCCTGGCACGTGGCCATGGTGAGTTAGTTCCAGCTACATGCCATGAAGAGTTTGTGGTCAACAGAGCTAATTGTTCTGGGTATGTCATCTGATGTTCTGACCACGGTAGTGCTGTCATGTTGTACATCCTACACTCCAGGTTCTAACGGCTGCTTGCTGCTGGGATTTGCAGTTATGAGTTCTGTTGCATCAGCAGCTGTAGGTCCCCGAGGCTTTGTTCCACCTGCTTCCTTCACATTGGCTCTACTGGAGAGCACGCTAAGGGCAGAAACGCTTGTCTCCATGTCCCTGCTGGTTGTTTGTTGTTGATGCATCAGTTCCTATTCATCGCGACCCTCTGTACATGTAAGAGAAAAACATTACCTGGGCCAGTGCCAGCATCTTCGGTCCATCGTTTGGAGGCCATCATTTTGGCTACTGTGTCAGCCCAGCTAATGGGAGGGTTTTGTTTCTGCCGGTCCTGCATCTTACCAAAAAGATTTCCTGTAGTTCAATAGTCAAGTGCTTGGCTGCTAACTGAATGATTGGTGGATCAAATCCATCTTTGGCAAAAATTATCTGGTGGTCTGCTCCTTTGAAAATTGCAACCTCAGAGACCCTACAGGACAATGCCGTTACATGGGATCACTATTAGCTAAGAATCAGCAGCACCTGTTGTTGTTATGTGCCATCAAGTTGCCTGTGACTCGTAGCAACCCTATATGCAACAGCTCTGAAGCCTGCCCTGTCCTAAGCTAGTCTCACAGATTCTGACACACCTGTCCCCATCGTTCTGGTTACTGTATCAATCTATCTTATCTGGGTCTTCCTCTCCTGCTCTGTCCCTCCACCTTTCCAAGCATGATGTCCTTCTCCAACAATCAGTCCTTCCTGGCCACATGCCCAAAAAGTATGTGAGACAGAGCTTCAAAATCCTAGCCTCCAAGGAAAAGCTTGGTTTCACCCTTTCCAAGACAGACCTATTTGTTTTCCTGGTGGTCCATGGTATGCACAAGACTGTTCTCCAGAATCACAACTAAAAGACATCAATTCTTCTTCTGTCATTCTGTCATTATCCAGCTCTCTGATGCATAGCAAGTAATTATAAAGACCATGGACTGGATCAGGCACACCTTAGTCTCTAGACTGACATTGTTGCTTCTCAGTACTCTGGAAAGGTCCCTGACAGCAGATTTACCTAATGCAATTCACTTTTTTGATTTCCTGAGAGCTGGTGCCAAGAGTGTTGATTGTGGAGCTGAGCAAGCTGTAACTGTTAACAACCTCAATCTCTTCTCCATCCGTCGTGGTGCTGCCAATTGGCACAGAGGTAAGAATCTTTGTGGAGCTAGCAACAATTTTATCACAGTCATGACGCTCTGAGGTTGAGCTTGGTATTTGCTGGTGACACGTGTGTGAGGCAGCAGAGTAAGTCTCCAAGGCTGTCGTCGTTGGATGCTGGTGAGTCGGTTCTCAGTCAGTGGCTTTGACTGAAACAGCAGAACCATACTCTTCACCAGCTTCACCGTCTCCGGCCATTGGCGCGCTCTCCTCAACAATTCACCTCAAGGAGCGTCTTCCTCTGTTTTTGTTTGTTTGTTTAATTTTTTTATTTACTATCAATTTCATATCAGCATATCTTAAGCTCAAGGAACTGAAGAACAAATTCAGACCTCGAGTTGCTGTAATCAGGGATGCTTTCGGCAGAATGTTAAATGATCCAGGAAGTATTAAAAGAAAATGGAAGGAATATACTGAGTCACTGTATCGAAAGGAATTGGAAGACACAGAAGAATTT